TAGAAGAAGACACAAATAAATGGAAAGGCATTTTCTACTCATGGATCCAAAGAATTAACATTATTGAAATGTCCATACTGCCAAAAGCAATTTATAGATTCAAAGCAATTCCAATAAAAATCTCAATACTATTCTTCAAAAAAAAAAAAATGGAACAAATATTGCTAACTAACATTCATATGGAATCACAAAAATTCCTGAATAGTGAAAGTTATCCTGACTAAAAGAGGAAGAATGGAGGTGTTACCCTCCCAGGGTAAGGGGAGAGCAAAAGCAGAGTCATTGGATGCAGTCCTGTTGTGAGGAAACATGTAATGATCGCTGTCATTGGCCATTCATCAGAATGAATTGCCACCTGATGCCTGAAGTCCTTCCCTAGATCTTCCTCTAGACATCTGACCAAAAGATAAGGTATTTTCCTTATGATAAAATAGTTAATATTCTGAATTCTTGCCTTTCTCACACACGAATTACCTATTAGAGATCACACGTGAAAGTATGCATATTGCCATGTCTGGAAATTAGCATATAAATTATGCCCTGAAAATGATGCCTTCAAAAATGAGTTCCTTTTTTTTCGGCTATGTGGTTGCCTCAATGCACACTCCTTCCCTAAGGAAACAGAAATCACTCTGCTTATCTCCATGCCTTACAGTTTTACTTATGTAGAACACTAAAGATAGACCAACTGTAACAACGCATGAGGACTACAAGATAGGAGATAGAATTATCTCTCACTTTACATACTGCTGCTCATTAAGCCAAACAAACTCTTTGAAAAAAAAAAAAAAAAAAGACTTTCCCTTTGTAGGGGAGGAAGGAGCACTGAGCAGGTTTTCTGTGATCCCATGCAGATGGGGTAAAGTAGGAGTCAGAGTCCTGGAGCCCTCAATGGCTTTTGCAGGCTTTGATTTGGATTTACTAGGTACCGGCAGGCAGGGGTGCTGGGGGGCTGGGAGGCTGGCAAGTCTTTACTCTTTCTGGGCTCTCCGGCCTTCTCTTGTGTTCTCTCTGCTTCTCTGCTCTCCTGCTTCTGTTTGTTCTTGGCTTCTGCTGGCATCCCCGTGATGCCGCCCTTATAAACTCAGTCTCTCAGTCCAGGTGTGCCCACTTCAGGTGCCCACCATCAGGCATGCATTCAGGACCACAGGGTTCCCTCATCTATCCTAATGGCGGGTGGGCAGAAAAGCCTGATACTTTTACCTTACCCTACACCCTTTAAATCACCTTTTTATTTAATGAAATTATTTACTTTTAACTGAAGTAATATTATGGTACTCCCATCAAGTATTACCATCCTAGTGCCCCCACCAGAGTGCACCCATATTCCACCACCATAGACCATTGTGCCACTTTCCATTTTAGTTGTTAACCCTCCCCCAATCTCTCTCTACCTTGGTGCTTCTACGTTGGGTTTATCATCATGTGTCCCTAAGTCTTTGCTTAAATATTACCACTGTGAAACCTAGCTTAAAACCAATATAAAATGTTACCCCCAGACTCCAAAACTCCTACCCTCCTGTAAGGGGCAGGAACGGGCACTGTGCAGGTTTTCTGATCCCATGCAGACCAGGTAAAGGAAGAGTCAGAGTCCTCAGTGGGTTTTTGCAGGTCTTTTATTGGGGTTCACCAGGCATATGGCAGGCAGGGGTGCTGGGGGGCTGGGAGGCTGGCCATCCTCCCAGCCCCCAGCAAATCCTCACTCTGGGCTCTCTGGCATTCTCTGCTTCTGCTTCTTCTTCTCTGCTTCTCTCTTGGCTTCTCTTTCAGCTTCTGCTGCTGCTGGCATCCCCGTGATGCCGTCCTTAAAAAGCACAGTCTTAGCCCAGGTGAATCTCATCTACCTATGCCCACACCCTATTCCAGGTGCCCGCCATCAGGCATGCATTCAGGATCGCAAAGATCCATCATCTATCCTGATGGCGGGAGGGCAGAAAAGCCTGACATTTTTCCTTAGCCTACAGTCCACCCCCTCAGGGTTTTCTGCCATATAATCCACACATACACAACTTTGTTTCTTAGCAAACACAAACAAAGCAGCCATGGCCCATAAAAGCAAATACATCACAATATAACAAAATACAACAGAACACAAATAAGTCCAGGCAGGGCCCCAACTTAGTGCAAAAGACAATTATTGGTGCCGGATGAGCCACCAAATCTGCCGCCGAAGGCACTGCTCATACAAGGGAGGGGAACTATTCACGGCATCTACTGTAACACACCAGGAGCCGTCGGGCTTCCTGGCCTTCTCTGGCTGTAGTTTCGGCTACAAGCCACACACAGCATCCACCCCCAGGATGCACTAGCTCTGGGATTGGCGATTCTACTCTGTTGGGGGTAATCGCCAACCCTCAGGGTTTCTGTCTGCAGTCGCTCCAATACTCGGCCTTCATAGCCACCAATGCGACTCGCAGATCCCTGCACTCAGGCCAACCCACTGCACAAGCACATGGGTCGGGGATCCAAACTCTACATTTGGCTTGGGCTCCACCCCAAGCCACGTTCCTCACCCGTCCCCCAAGGACGGGTTCCTCAGCTCCTCACCCTCACTCGAGAATGAGCAGGGCATCACCCATGGTGATTTTACAAGACTCACAGGTCTTCAGCATACTCAGGCTGCTTAACAGCCACTCAGGACTTCTCAACTTAGCATCAGCACCAGCTTTTGCCTTCTCAGTTGGCTTTTCTCCTCCACCTGGCTGCTGGGCATACACAGGCTGCTTTTGACCATCAAGGCCCACTGGCCACCCCTAGATTCCCATCTCCTGGGGTTGACAAAAGAAACTGTTCCACCCCCAGGGTCCTAAAACATATCAACCTGCAAGGTTCTCCGCCTTCTGGCGGGATTGTCAGTCCAAATTCATCTGTCCATGTCCAGCAGTTGAAGTCCGTTGGCCTCTCCCTGCATCAGCACTGGCGAGCTCTGAATCGTGGTCCACTTTTTGCTGATGATTCTGCTGCCTCAGGGGTCATTGGCTGGTCCTTTCAGGTGTCGTTGGCTGGTTCTCTTGGGTGTCTCCTCCTCCGGCGAGGTCTTATCCCATAGATCCTGGACATTGTCCATCTCCTGGGTCGCCATGATGCCTCCGGTGTGGTCACAGGCAGTCTTTTACTCCTTAGTCCCTTCAGGTCTTCGGAGGGCTCCATACCTGTCTGCATGGATCATCCTGCCAACTACGCCAATTGTAAGGGGCGGGAACGGGCACTGTGCAGGTTTTCTGATCCCATGCAGATCAGGTAAAGGAGGAGTCAGAGTCCTCAGTGGGTTTTTGCAGGTCTTTTATTGGGGTTCACCAGGCATATGACAGGCAGGGGTGCTGGGGGACTGGGAGGCTGGCAGTTCTCCCAGCCCCCAGCAAATCCTCACTCTATCTAGGCTCTCTGGCGTTCTCTGCTTCTGCTTCTTCTTCTCTGCTTCTCTCTCAGCTTCTCTTTCAGCTTCTGCTGCTGCTGGCGTCCCTGTGACGCCACCCTTAAAAAGCACAATCTTAGCCCAGGTGACTCTCATTACCTATGCCCACACCCTATTCCAGGTGCCCGCCATCAGGCATGCATTCAGGACTGCAAGGATCCATCATCTATCCTGATGGCGGGAGTGCAGAAAAGCCTGACATTTTTCCTTACCCTACACCTCCTCAACATTTACTAACTTTTTTTTATGTTAAGATATCATAACCATTGAGCTATAATATTTAATTTGTTTTCATATAAAGTGCTTTGAAGGTAGAGATTTTTTTTCTGTTTCATTAATGGTAGAAAGGTGCCTGGCACATAGAAGGCACTCAATAATTTGTAGATTAATAAATGTATGAATGAATGAATGAAATTGAGGGTTGAAATGAAGATGATATTGTCATGAAAAGTTGTAGGAAAAAAGCATTTCAGAGAGAGTGAGTGTCATGCAAAAACCTTTAATATGGAGTTATTATATGCCCATCACTGGAGAGGCACTAAGTTGTGGGAAAGGATACCAACAAGGGGAGAGAAGCATCACTCAGTTGTCAATTTCCAGATTCTAAGCTTGAGTTTGATTTCTTATAAGCCACACAAAAATCTTCATAACCTTCTGCAAGTTATTCAGACCACTGAGGTTTCATTTATACCAGTTGTAGATTAGGACTGATAATAGACTGTGAGATATAAAGAACTCTATATGTGTAACACTCTGGCATACTATTATTTTATTATACTATTGGCGATAGTAATGATATTTATTATTAAATTAATGATATGCAGCCACCAAATGTGTTTGTATAAGTGTGTTTTGAAATAATATTCTGAACAAGTCCACGTTTGACACCATTTGGAGGAGGGTGAGAAATGCATATGGGTAAGAGCAGTATTATTCCACTCTCTGCTCATAGTAAACTAGAATGTTGACAGAAAATTCTGGAAATGTTGATTTAAAAAACTGTAGATATAGGTTCTCTGAGTTCCTAAATACTTTACTTTTCCTTCAAATGCCTGTAATTCTTGACATTAATCAATGGATTAATTGCAGGGTGAGGTGTCTGAATGTCATGATGTCAGAGAAATCCTCTAAGTCCTTTTCTCCACATGCGTCTTGTGAATCAACTCTTCTCCACCACAAAAAGTCAAATAAGGTGGTGAATAAAAGATAATCTGTAAAAAATGTCATGGCAAAAGCAACCAGAATGTGGTTTTATTTCTTAGTGTTTACTCTGTCCAGGCTGCTGTCCAAACATTTTCTGTACTGGAAGGTGTCTAAGTCATAAATCCAGATTTATTTTCACACTCCTTAAGTATAATCTTTACCAAAGGTAATGTGGTCAAGGGAATGAAATAGAGGTCAATGCTAAGTGAAAAGAGGGACTAGTGACAATAAGAAGCTGATTATGGGAGAGAAGATAATTATGTTGAAAACACCTGAAGAGCAATTCTGGAAGTTAGACATAATAATGAGATGCCGGTACTTTGGTAAAGAAATACCAAAAGAGTATGACACTAGGAAAAGCTAACATTGATTCTTAGAAATTCTAACAGGGAAATTTGCCTGCTCTCAGCAATTTTTTTAGAGCTCCTGTGACATCCTTATTCCGGAAACTGTAAATTACAGGATTCAGGACAGGTGTCAGAATGGTGTAGAAGAAGGACACTACCATGTCCTTATCAGGGGTGTGGTAGGAGCTGGGGAGCATGTAGGTATAAACAGCAGCCCCATAGAAGATGATAACGACTGTAATGTGGGAAGAACACGTGGCAAAAGCCTTTTTCTTGCCCTCTACTGAGTTCATCTTGTGGATGGTGAGGATGATAAAATAATAAGATCCTGAAATGACTGTAATAGGGATGAGCAGCATGAGAATACAACACAGGTACATGAAAATCTCATAGAGGGAGGTATCCGAACAGGACAACTTCATTACAGCAGGGGCCTCACAGAAAAAGTGGTAGATTTCCCGAGATCTGCAGAAGGGGAATGTCATGGTGATGGGAGTGAGTATAAATCCATCCATTGATCCCACAAACCAACAGCCAGATGCCAGGAGGTGACATATCCTATGGTTCATAAGGACAGAGTAACGGAGAGGATGGCAGATGGCCACATAACGGTCATAGGCCATGGCAGCTAGAAGGCAGTATTCTGAACCTCCCAACAAAAGGTAGAAGAACATCTGGGTCCCACAACCCAAGAATGAGATGGTCCTCACATTTACCAGTTTGTTTGCCAGCATTTTGGGCACAGTGACAGAAATATATATTAAGTCCATGAGTGAGAGTTGATTGATAAAGAAGTACATAGGAGTATGCAGGCAGGAGTCAAAGTGGATCAGAAGGATCAAGATGATATTTGCAGATACAGCCATTAAAAATATGCTGATGATAAGAAAGAAGAGGAAACCAGGGTGTGAACTTTTACTAAAGATCCCCAACAGGAAAAAATCACCATTCTGTGTCTGATTGTTCAGACACATATTAGAGAGATGATGAAGGGAACTGTACCTAGAGGATAAAAGTAGATATAGATAGGCATATAACACATATTTCTGTCAATTCATTCACTTCAAAATATGAATTCAATATTTTAACAGGAAAAAAGCACCCCAAGACAAGGAATAAATCTAAACACATGGCATGTATCGGATTTCAAAACATTTATAACAATTACAAATTTAGTCAGATATCTTCAAATGTGACAGTAAAGATATTTTCCAGTTTCTCAACTTTTTTTAATAAGATTTTTTCCAAAGATTTATTTATTTATTTATTTGTTTGTTTGTTCATTTATTTATTTATTTATTTATTTATACAAGCACTGGGTACAGTCAGAAGCGCGGGAGGGTGATAGAATTCACCAGAGCCAGAGCGGGGAGCAGAGCAGGCAGAAGGACCGAAGTACACTGCTGAGGGGAGCAGTGGGCGGCAGGAGAGGTCTGTGCACTATGTAGGACCCTCCTCTGGTGGCCGGGGAGCAGCTGGGGATTGAACCGGCGCTGCAGAGGCTGCGGGCAGCTTCGCAACGCAGCGCTCAACTGCTGTGCCACAAGGGAGGCCCACCAGTTTCTCAACTTTTAAAAATGTTTCAGTAAAGGTAATTCCCAGCTTTAAAAAAAATGTTTTAAATACTTTTACAGGAACATGATTATAAAATATATTTTCACTCTCTACTTAACCTATCACAAAGGTCTTGATTCTGTGAAATTTATTCATAGTTTTGTGATCTATAGTAATATATTGGAACCTATTAGGGTTTCAGTACTCTTTCATGACCTCAAAGAAAGTTACAAGTACCTGCGATCAATGATGATGAATCATCATTATTGTCCAAATGGTTGCTTTTTCAGTGGTGATTTAAACCACACCTGGCATTTCTCAGTCTGAGGTTTCTTTATATCAAGATTAAGTTGCCAAATACCATTAAGTATTAATTGCAACCTAACTAATTGCAACCTCCCCATAACTAATTGCAACCTCCCCATTTCACCCATAACAACTTGGTGACAAGTTTGACTAAATTTACATTTACTTTGTTGTCCTTTTTCCTACATCATTGTGAGAGGATGCGTTTTCTCTTGGCTTTTTCTCCCAATGGATAAGCAGTCGTATCTCTAAAGTTCTAGAGTAATTGACTGAGTAAATTTCTTAGAGTAATTGACTGAGCAACCACCTGGCACCAGATGTAAGAATCCTTTTTCTACCTATTATTTTCTGGGCCAGTCTAGGGCTACTCAATACCAGTGTTTATTCTCTTTTTCAGAATTGTATTATTTATTCATGGATGACCGTTATCTATATTTTCTACTTAACAATAAAGACATTGTGTCTATATTTTATAAATAAGAACACATTAATGGAATCAAAACCCTTTAATTACACTAAATTTCTCAAAATTGATTTAAAATCAAACATGCATTATATTTACATCTCTGTTGCATTTCAATTTTCTTTTGGCATATTTTATATGTCTCTGAGTAAATAATATTACAATTAGTCATAATTTTATAAACATGAATGGTTTCAATTAGCCATCATTATTTTAGTTTTGATATTTCAAACTCTTACAGTCTTTGCTAGAACAGTTTATTCAAATTAATGGCTTTTTAAGTACTATATTAAATAATTTTGAAAATGTGATTTCATCCTGGTAACAACATATCACTAATCTATCTTAGTCCTTCCTTGATCTAAATCATAGAATCAGTTCCTAGGTAAAGAGCTGGTTATTTTCAAATAAAATTAAAATTTGAGACAAATTTTTTGTGTTATCTTGTTTTTAATCAGATATTTTCAAATGTGGATAGAAACATGACAAAATATTACCCAAACCATCTTAGTAATGGATGCAGAAAGCTACCCATTAATGTTGCATAATCTTTATATCTCATTAAACAGTGATTTTGGTCATTTTACTTGACACTGAATAATATTTTATCAATATTTCAGTCTGAATACACATACATATTTCTCTCTACTATTCATTCATAAAAATTAAAATTAATTTATAGAAAAACAAGCAAATAAAAACCCATAAAATGAGATAAAATGCTTTATTAATGAACAAGTAACTTTTGGAAATGCTACAGGGTCAGACATAGGTAAAATTTGTGCCATCATGGAAAAAATTTCAGCTCAACCATGAGCAGGTTACAGCAGAAGGAAAAGCAGTTATTACCAGTATAGACGCAGATTAACCAAGGGGCTGAAATTCAATCAAAGCAATCATTAATTACAAAACTCAGAGGATGCCCAGACAGCAATTGCTGCCATTAATTCAAGATATGCTTATGGAAAAGTTGGTATCCCTTTGACTTTTTGCCTTGGTGAAAGCCTTGAAAATTTCATCCTCAGCAAATAAGAAATGGTGCAGAGAGGGCTCCTGACATGCAGTATAGTCACAATAGTTTTAGAAGGCTGCTTACAAGGAAGAAGACATAAGAAAGAAAAGATGGCAAATGATAGGCCAAAGTTTGGGCAATTGTTTTTCTAGGAGGCATTTCTAATATGGTCATTCCCACATGGGAGATGGGTAAGCAGTGCTCTGAAAGTCCATGCAAGACAATGTGATAACAGATCCCAGCATCCTGCACACTATCAACCCAAGCATGGCTCTATAATGGCATGCATAGAAAAAGGCTGAGGAAATAGCTATGATATAACTGTGCTACATTTCATGCTTACTTGAAGAAGGAGGCATGTAAAACAACCACTTCCTGTTTTTGATAATTTTTAGCATATATATAAATCTTACTAGTGTATGAAAATCATATGCATATTAAAATTCAGGACACAATTTGAAAGGGAAAAATAGTTCATGAAGTGACAGGTAGAACATATGCATTCCTTTTGTGATCAGTTTCTTCTAGGTTTGCAGCTTACTCTTTCCAGCACTTCAATCTCAACTCTCCTTTGACTCCTCTACGGAGTACAAACCTTTCTATCTCTCATCTCCTTGAAGTTCTCATTCTCCACCTTAGTACTTTGAAAGCTTTTGTCAGTAACTAAAATTTTCCTCTTGCAGAACACAATAGTCAACTTCTCCCTAATCATCTTTTAACCAAACCACAATGCCAGCTAAAACCACTTCTCTATCTATCTACTCTGAATCAGATTGAGACTGGGGAAATTTCTAACCACTTCTACTGAAGGTACTTCAAGTATATAATTCCTAAACACAAGTGTCTCCAACAGATAACAATCATGTTCTGCTGATAATTTGTTCACATTCTCTTCCAGGATGGAAAGTTCACATTTTTTGCCTCAATCCAAAAAAGATTCATACCTCTCCCTTCCTTACTCTAAGTTTGTTAACTTTTTTCCTATTTCATTTTTAAAAAGATTTATTTATTTATGCATACAAGAACTGGGGTACAGACCAGAGTTGCAAGGGGGTGAGGATTCACCAGAGACATAATGGGGAGCAGAACAGAGACACCCACTGAAATACACTCCTGAGGGGAGCAGTGGGCAAGACAGGAGATGTCTGCTGCATCATGTGCATAGCTCCCTGGCAGGTTGGGGATCGAACTCATGTTGCAGAAGCAGTGAATAGCCTCACAATGCTGTGCTTAACCCCTTGTGCCACCAGGGAGGCCCTGTTTTCCTATTTCTTTGATAAAATTCATTGAGGGATTCAGAAGAAAACTTCCATACTTTCCACCAAACCCACATATACCAGTGCCCATAAACTCTTCCTTCTGTTACTTTATTTGAATTGTGCATGCTTCAGAGACCTTCACTCCACTCCATATCTCATCAGTTATCCTCTTTTTTCTGCTACATTATCTATATTTTGTACTCTTTAATAGATCATGTCTATCTATTTACCCATATTCTGTTACTGCTCCCCAATAAAAAAAGTAAAGAAAAAAACAAATTGAAACAACTATTCACAAAAATGGCTTCTTCTCCAACAAATATCCTTTCCTTTTTAGTAAAAGTTTTTGAAAAAATTAACCAAACTCACTATCATCAATCGCTCCCCTCCAAAACAAGGTTTTATCTTACCTCTCTTTCCCAAATCTTCTCATCAAGACCACCAATAATCACTATGCAGCTTATGCCAATATTTAAGTCTCAATTATCATAACTTTGACCACTCACCAAGACTTGATGTGAATGATCACTCACTTTGTTTGATAAATTTTCCTTTTTAAATTTCAAGGGTACCACTCCTGCTTTCACTCCTCCCTGTTCACTGTTTTTCTTCCTCTTTTCTATGCGCTATTAATAGTGGAGTATCTCAAGAATTTTCTCTTGCAACTACCACTTAATCTGAATTCCCTCCCATGTTGATCTTAACCTGCAGTCCAGGGTTTATCTGCTTCCCATATAGAATTCCATAAGTCACAGATTTTTACACCAAATTGCCTCTTCAGCATCTTCATCAATCTGGTTGATGTTTGTTGTGCAACCACCCCATGCCAGGTATGATCACTGTCAGTTCTCACAGATGATAAGAGAATTTAGAGCCTTTGGTAGATTTCGCATTCCTTTAATGCTGAGACAAGAGACCATATACAAAGGCAGGCAGACAGAGCAAGTGAGACTCCAACCTGTGAGAGGCAGAACAGCAACTCTGCTGCCCAGATCCCTTTACACTGTTAAGTGCCCATAGTGACACAATGGATACATGGTTGCAAATGCAAGGCCCATCTTTTGCTTGCTAGATGTCCAAATGGCAGAAAAAAATAGCATTTCAAGGTATGGGCTCTCTGATGTGTGAAAGGTGAAAATCGGCTGATTAACCCATTTTCCTTACAATGTCTTTCACTTTATATTGCCTAACTTCTGATTTTGCCTCAAAGATATGTGATTCAGAATCCTCTCCTGCTGAGATATTAGTGATTTGAACTAACCAGTGTCTCAGACAAACAACCTTAAAATCGTCTTTGGCTTCTCCATTTCTCTTATTTCATCAGTCTATCAGAAAATATCTAGATTTTAAGACCTTACTTCATTGTTCACTCCACTGCTG